CGGATACAGACTAACACGGCTGTTACTCTGAAACAATACCTTGTAGGATCAGCTCCTTAATTCTCACTGTTTTGGAGTTCATATCTCTGTAAAGCGCTTTGTTGCTCATGAAAGCACTTTAGTAAATACATACTTTACCTCCCAATAGATTTGTGGGTGTCCAACTTCAGAAACCTTTGAAGGGGCCTAATTTTCAAAGTCTTGATGTTTAGTACTTTATGAGATCAGACGCTTTAACACATCTCAAGTTAGGCACTCAAAATCACTAGTCATTTTTCAAAACGTACAGTATTGCCAACCTCAAGCATTCAAAAATCAGAAGATGGGCCCCAAAAAAACATGAGAAAGTTTTTTTTTAATCTCATGATTTTTAATCCTGATATGTGTTGGATTTTTTTTCTTTGACATCTGGTTTCTGAGTCATTATCACTTATCTCTGTAACCAGAAGAGATAGAAAATTTTTTCTGGGAAAGTTGAAATGCTCATGTAACTGCAAGATGCCAGGAAACAGATATTTAAGGGAAATGCCAAAATGTCACAAGACACACATTAAAATCGAAAGCGTTGGCAACACTGATTTCCAGGCCTTTATACATTTAAAAAAAATAACCCTCCCCCACTCTACAGCCCTCCAAAAGAACCTACACGCTCCTCTTGCGAAAGAAGCCAGAGGTGGTGCACAGGGAATAATTCCTTGCAGAGCCAGGATATTGATGATGGCTCCCTGGAGTTGGCTCAGAATGAGGACAAACTGTGAAAAGAAACAAAGAAAAGGAGATTGATACTTCAGTACTACAGAAGGGCTGTATCTCAGCACAGTGATCTTGCTTTCATGAAGAATATAAAAATCCTCTTCCACCTTGTCTCTCTCCTCATCTCCTACCCTAAGCCTGCCTCCCCTGCAGAATAAATCTTTTGGTGAAGGCAATATGGCTCACAGCTTGAAAATTAAATCAAACTTCCTAGCTGTAAAAAAGGCTTGACCCCAGCTCTTCGGTCCAAAGATGCAATGGCTGTGAGGCTTCCATTTGGGGTAACAATCAATATTTACTGCTTCATATCAGAATAAAACATAAGAAAAATGGAGTCTTACCAGCCCTGTAATTATTAATTTGTACCCACCTGTAACAAGGGGGCAAGATTCTTCTGTTGCCCTACTCTGGTATGAGGTGTTGGAAAACACAGACACAGACACACACACACACACACACACAGAGAGCAGAGAGACGCTGACTGATTCCTGCTAACTCACTGTGGCAGGGGTGACTCTTAAACTGTCCCCTAGTTATAAGGGAAGTGGCTTTTGGTGCAGAAGAAACTAGATTCTAGGACAGAGATGTCTTTGCAGTGGAACCCTAGGAAAGCCAAGCTGGGGAAGAAAGGGCAGGGTGATGTGTGTGCATTGTTGTAGCTTGAGTAACCAGTAAAGCCAATACGTCGGGAAGGGAGTAAGTTTGGACTAAATTCTGTGGACCAGCTTTATAAAGTTGTATACGTGCATAAAGATGCAGATAGGTGCCCGGTGGGATTCACAGACATGCCTAAACAGATTAGGACCCAGATTTTTAAAGGTATTTAGGCACTGCTGTGCTCAATGTTGCAAAATCTAATTGATTTAGGAGCCTAGCTCTCATTTTCAAAAGGGATTTAGACACACACAAGTCTAAATCCCATTGACAGTCAATGGACAACACATTTAAAATCTGGGCCTAGGTGCCTAACTCCCATTGAAGCTATTGTAGGCACCTGGCCTGCTTAGGTGCTTTTGAAAACCCCATTAGGTGCCTATCTGCATCTTTATGCACCTAAATACCCTTGTAAATCTGGCCTTTTGTGTATAAATTCTTCTTAAAGCAGGGTAGAAACACGGCCTGCTCTCTTGAACTTTTCTTGCCCTGTTCCTGACCTGAGAACTTTCCCCCTGTGCTAGTCAGCGTCTCACTTGGGAGTTTGTTCGGAGCCCATGTCTCTAGTTGGTGTGTGACCAGAGCATTTTTGAAATCGGTCAGGAAAACTGAGCTCTGCATACATTTAGTGCAGAGTGTTCGCTGTCTTAGCATGTTCCCAGCCCTGCCCACAAAGTAATCAGTAAACAGATGTAAAAATTAAGAAATTCTTTAAGGCCAGTGAGGACAGAATAGCATTCAACTACTTTCTCGGAAACTGATAAGTGTGGAGGAGGGAAAGAAAATCTGTGGTTCAATATAAGATTATAAAATCCATTGCACAGGTTAAAATGATCTGAACTCCCTCATGAATACATTTCCCATAAAAATTCAAAGACAAAAATGTTCTCATTCACCTCAATTATTATTGTCTTTACTAGTTTAGTGCTGATAGTGTACAGGACACAGAGAAAGACATAGTTCCTGTCCTAAGAATTTTATAATCTAAGGGCCTAAAGAACTTCATACGAGGTGTAATATTCACTTCTGTGAATAGTGCCTTGAGTTTAATGGGACTACTTGTGGTAGTAAGTCTAACTACTGAAAGTAAGTGTTGTAGGATCAGATGCGAAGGCCAGCTGTGATCATGCAGAACAGATTTCAGATCCAGATCATCAGGATGAATCACCCAATGAAGTAATTTTTAAAAACAAACAAATGCATGTGATCTCAGAATAGAGAGAGTGCTCTAGAGTGTGACACCTCTTAGTCTGTGCTGTTCTTAGCCATATATCTTGGTGGGCATCCAAAATATTTACGGGACACATATGGAGTATCAGTGACTCACTAGCTTGAAATCGTGCTTAATTCCATGTTGAAGTAAATGTACAGGCTGACTTCAATTAAATAGGGTTGGGAGAACTAGCCTAAAAACTATCATATATAGATCTATACCTGAGAGCAAGAGCCAGTAAAAACTACATGCTGCTTTTGTACTGTGTTAGATGGTGCAAATCCCAAAAACCAGAGTGAATTTAAAGCTGTACTGGTCCCAGATCCAAAAAAACTTTGCCATCTCCATCCTGCCAGACAAACAGCAATATCTGACATGTGTTGCTGGATGGCATCCAGCTGCTGCCTGCCTCCTACCTGTTCCTTCAGGGCATGTACTGACATGTACTGACTACTTGTGAGTGCCTCATGGACACAGGCTGCACCTCCTCATTGACAGCATGTGGCCAGAGAGACTACGCAGCCTGCTGTACACTGGCCTAAGCCTTCTCTATACTGAGTGTATACCCCTAGTGTAGACACTGTACCAGCGCGTAACCCCTTTGCGGTTTAGAGAGAATGGCCCTTTTACATTTTTGTCCTGAGGGGAGGAAGTGTTGATTTTTCCAGGAAGAGGAAGTTCTGTTTTGAGGGGGTGGGCATGGAGAGAGGGGAAACGACAGGGTGCATGTGTGTCTGTAGCTCCAGATAGAAGGGCTGCAGCAAGTGGGCCCTCACACAGTGAAGCAGCCAAGAACCTGCCTGAAGACTGGGAGGGACAGAGCAGCCGATCAGGGACACCCCAGGACAGGAGCCAGGAGGAGCACCATGCCAGGGTGGAATCTGAGAAACAGGAGCTGGACTGAGGATCACTGTTGCCCAGAGCTGTATGGGGCTGTGAGTACTGGGTCTTGTGACTTTGCATTGGGAATAAGGGGAGAGGCGGTAGCTAGCTAAGTGGGGAGGTTGCCGCTCTGTCTGGGTTTGCAGAGAGTGGCAGAAGAGGGCACTGGAAGGGTTTGTTGGGGAAAGTTTACTGGTGCCCAAGATGACCAGGAGCACCCAAGACTCACTGCCAGACTGGAACTCTGCCCGGGACTCCTGATCTCTGAGTGCAGACGTAGTGCTCAGTGTCTGCCCTTTCAGACTGTGGTACTGCTGGGCCTGTGGGGCCTCGTGGTAGATGTAACTCTGTTTTACCACTGCCCCATCTTCCCTTCTGTTGTTGTTCTCCATTCATCCCTCTGTAAATAAATATTTCCTCTCCTGTATTCATTGTACTATTCCGGTGTGCATGTGTTCACATCGGGGGGTGTGGAACAACGTACCCCTGGGGCGGAAGGGACTTTCCCTGCTGCGTTCCTGTGTGCGCCTTTTCTTAGCCAGAGCTGCCTACAGACCAGACTCCATTTTGGCCATGAGGGCACTAAAGTTACAACTTAGTGTGACTTGCACTAGGACAACTTAGTGAGGTAAACTGCCCAGGTGTGAGTCATGGTTTACAGTTCTGGCCACTGCATTTACACTAAGGTTTTTCACTGATGACTAAAACGTAACACAAACAAGGCCTTACAGCACCACCTCCTAGGGATGCCCACCGATGGCAGGATACAAATAAGAGGATACTGCCTCAGTCCTTGAGGATGGAGGTATCTTTCACGGGTTTCTTTAATATTGAAAATGGATAGAACTAAATCTGGCCCATATCTGGCCCCACTCTATTATTCAGTGGTTTCCTACCAATGTTTTTATTATTGTCTTATTCTCATTTGTAGACTGGCCAAGAAAAATAACTAACATCACAGAAACAGCAGCATGTTGCAACAATTGAAACAAGAAGAACCCCCCACCCCAGTTCCAGAACCCTTCCCATCTTTTAAAGTACACACTAGAATTTTAACATTGTATTACAGGATACACCATCTACATGAGGCGTCCTTTATGCTGAGAAAAGAGAGCTCAGCTATGTGCTATTATTTCCCCACAGCCCAAGGAAGAATGGATTATAAATATTTCTCAATTCTCCAGCATTATACAAACACCAGATGCAAGTTAATACAAGTTGAGCATGAACAAGAACAACGCTTCAAAGAGAAACTACATCTTTAACCAATCAAAGGGTGTGTCTTTGTACAGTAAGTTTTAAATTACAGTCTTTGAACTGAGAAGCAATAAGCCGTACCAAATTCTGCCCAGGACTTGGGTTATTCTATATCAATAGCAATGCAAATTCTGAACTGAAATGTGAAGATTCTTACCTCATAAAGTGCAAACTTAGGGATGATCTTCTTACAGTTAAGAAGAACTCGAACTTGTTGAAACATGATTCCAATTGGCCACAGAGCAATGATTGTAAGGACACCAACAAAGCAGTTAATCCATATTGCAGCTCCATTAGGGGTTAACTAAAAAGCAAGTTAAACAGGCATATGGATAAGACTCGGCAGCTGTGAAAACATGCAAAAAATAAAACGCTTGTTTCTATTTTTATGAAAGTTGAAATCAATAGCAGAGGCTCCTGGGATTTGCACTGGAAACTGCTCTGAGGACACTGCCAACAGAAGGGATAATATGGAATGCAGTTCTTGCTCACCAAGCAGCCAGTGGCTTGCAAAACTGGTAAGACCTGGGAAGGTGATAAAGAGCTAGATTCTTCCAGGACCTGAGCACCGTCCCCCTCCCATCAACACCAATGGGAATTGCGGTGCTCAGCATCTTGCAGGATCAAACCCAGAATGACCCACCAAAGGCTTCTTCTGAAAGACAAATTGTCTCCCCCAGCAGCCTCAAAGATATTTTACAAAAACAACAAGGAGTCCGGTGGCACCTTAAAGTCTAACAGATTTATTTGGGCATAAGCTTTTGTGGGTAAAAAACCCACTTCTCCAGATGCATGGAGTGAAAATTACAGATGCAGGCATTATTATACTGACACATGATGTTGTGAGCGTTATCTTGTTGCATGACAACCGACAGCCGTGCAAGGTGAATGTACAATGCTACTTTACACTGAGTTCGCACAAGTATAAATGACAGCACAATATGCAGCGGAATGGTGAATTGGGTCTACTGTTTATAGGATGTTGGTTGGTACATGAACCTGGCCTTTTAGATACTAATTGTCAAGCCAAAGTGTAAAAGCTTGGTGAGCAATGGCTGATTAGAATATTTACTTACATCATAAACGCTGTAGTTTCCATTGGTCCAAAGCACTATTGACAGAAACATTAGCACAGGTCGAAGGAAAGCAAGCTGAAAGGTCCCCAACTTCAGCAGAAACAGGGTTCGTCTGACAAGTCAAAAAACCACCACTGCTCAATACCTTGTTAATAAGCTTAACAACACTTCACTAGTTATTGTTTAATAGTAGAGGCCCCACATTTTCCATATGTACTGTACATGGCTGAAATCTGGCAAGGAACATCTTCTAGAACCTAAATAGCTTGTCTAGAATTCTCTACTTTTTCACAGCATATTGAAAGATGTAGACACGAACTTAGCAGAACAGGCACAACATAATGTTTTTTGCTCCATTGCTGGTTCTGCAGCAGCAGTTAAATAACTAATGGAGCTGTGCAAAAGGCGATATATTAGAGTCTACTGGGGAGCCAATGGCAAAATAGCTAGCACCTGAAATATGCCATTAGCTCCTCCACTGCAACCATACTATCCCAACCTTCTGCTACAGTGGGCAAGTTGGTGCTTCACTACCAGCATTAAACTTAATGGCAAGTTACCATAGATCTTTAATCCTTGTCTAGAAAAACCATGTCAGATATGGTGGCTTCTTCCTGATTCCACCCTTCCTGATTAGCGAACCCCCAATCTTGTGGTAGTCCAGGAAAGCAGGGGGTTTGCAGGATCAGGAGAGAGGATCAGCATTTTCCGGAGTATTCCTCCATGAACATTGTTCAACAGCCATCCACTTTTCCTCCTAGGTGGGAGGAAATCATCCACCTTCGACCACTACACTTCCTAGCCCCAGCAGAACAGCTGGTGCACGCTTCCCTCTCTTCAGTGAGTCATAATCACAGACCCAAAAAACATCCTTCAGATTTTAATGCTGTTTTAAAAATACCATAAGGAAAGGGGGGGGGAGGGAAGGGGAAGACACTTGTCACTCAGATACATGAAAGCTGATATAGCTGAACTATCTAAGTGCACACTGGGCAAGGTCCAGCTCCTGCTCCCCTTTTCTTTGTCAACTTTATTATTCCTCATCTATTTCCCAGCTCTCGTTCTCTGGTTATTTCGGTCTTCGCTGTTGTGCCCTTGGCCCCTCAGACACTCTACCTAATGAAGGCTCAGCAGCCAGCCAGCTGCCATTTAATGTGTAATGTGATATATTAATGAACCTTGATTTATTATAATTGCTCAATTAATACAGCCATAATTACATCATTACAGTGGTAATTTTACTCCCGCAAATAATTATAGAACTATAAACGGTACAAACAAGTGTGAAATGGGCTGAGACAGGTCACCCGATTAGTGCATTTGCCCTTTCAAGCATTTGGAGAATTGTGTGACAACAGAGCAATTGTTGCTGATAGAAACCTGTTACTGTACCTTCCCCTGTTCCTGACCCTTATCACTCTTATCTGCACTAGCCTGTCCTATCTACCATCCTTATTTCTTATAAAAAAATTTAAAAAAGCTAAGTTCAACCAAACAAGAGACACCTGCAGGAGGGGCCAGAGGAGGATGACATTTTCAAGAAGTCATCCTCTGTCCTGGAAGAAGCTTAGAGAGCTCAAGAGTAGGTAGAAGGCAAGGCCTCCCAACCCTAGGTACCGATGAGAAGGAGCCCAACACAGGTCTACAGAGGTAGGAGCCATCCTATGAAGACAGCCATCCTTCCATCCACTGGCAGCATGACTCCAGCAACAGCCTCATTTTCACTGAAAGGCTGAATGTCCGCTGGGTTGACCAAGAATGATGCTACAGAGACTGTCTGGTCCCCAACTCCAAGCCCTTCCACCCCAAAACAGTGGAGGATAGCCACATAGTGCAAGCTAAAAGAGTCAATTTTGATGTGGCCCCATAATGATAATACACCTTAAAATAGACAGAATGAGATACAGAGGTAACGCATACAAAATGTGCCGGGTGCAAGTTTTCTCTGGAGCGGGAAGACCCAGTATTGTATGTGTGGCTCTGATAAGTTGCTGGTTTCTGACACCAGTACTCTAGCTGGAGAGCTCTCAAGTGAAACTCACCTAGTGATGTGTACATAAGGGAGGCAAAGGCAACAGCAACAGCAGGGACCTGTGCTGATCTTGAAACGATCATTTTCAAATCTCCTGAGAAATAACTTTTGACCTCCACACTCTTTAATCATCATCAGCAAGAACTTGTGGATCACAATGGCAAAAAAACTACAAGAGAAAAAATATCAGGTTAAATATACACATAGTGCATGTGCTCTTTGTATACCAGCATAGACATGTATCCTTAACCATCCTACTACAGGAATTTGCAATGCTTGACATTTCCTAAAGTCTGTTAGTAATAGTAATATTTAGCGCTAACTGCATAGAAACATTACTTTATAAGGGTAGGCTGAGTTAAGTATTAATTTCATTTTTCAGAGAAGGAAATCGAGACATAGAGCAACTAATTGATTTACCTAAGGCCACATAGCATGTAGGCGGGAGAGTCAGCATTAGAATGCAGGAGCTCCTGGCTCCCACCCTAGTGCTCTATCCATTAGACGATGCTGCCTCTGCTTTTTGTACTATTTCTCTACGGGTATGTCTACACTACGGGATTAATCCGAATTTATATAATTCGAATTTGGAAAACAGATTGTATAAAGTCGAATGTATGCAACCACACTAAGCACATTAATTCGGCGGTGTGCGTCCATGTACCGGGGCTAGCGTCGATTTCCGGAGCGTTGCACTGTGGGTAGCTATCCCATAGCTATCCCATAGTTCCTGCAGTCTCCTCCGCCCATTGGAATTCTGGGTTGAGATCCCAATGCCTGATGGGGCCAAAAACATTGTCGCGGGTGGTTCTGGGTATATCCTCCCCCCTCTCCAGGAAGCAACGGCAGACAACCTGTCATAACTATAAAGGGAAGGGTGTAACAGCTGTCCTGTGTACAGTACTATAAAATCCCTCCTGGCCAGAGACTCCAAAATCCTTTTCCCTGTAAAGGGTTAAGAAACTCAGGTAACCTGGCTGGCATCTGACCCAAAGGACCAATAAGGGGACAAGATACTTTCAAATCTTGGGGGGGGAGGGAAGGCTTTTGTTTGTGCTCTTTGTTTGGGAGTTCGTTCGCTCTTGGGACGGAGAGGAACCAGACATCAATCCAGGTTCTCCACATCTTTCTAAACAAGTCTCTCATATTTCAAACTTGTAAGTAAATAGCCAGGCAAGGCGTGTTAGTTTTCCTTTGTTTTCTCAACTTGTAAATGTACTTTTTACTAGAGTGTTTATCTCTGTTTGCTGTACTTTGAACTTAAGGCTAGAGGGGAGTCCTCTGAGCTCTTTAAGTTTGATTACCCTGTAAAGTTATTTTCCATACTGATTTTACAGAGATGATTTTTACCTTTTTCTTTAATTAAAAGCCTTCTTTTTTAAGAACCTGATTGATTTTTCCTTGTTTTTAGATCCAAGGGGGTTGGATCTGTATTCACCAGGAGTTGGTGAAAGGAAGGAGGGGGGATGGTTAATTTCTATTTGTTTTAAGATCCAAGGGGTTTGGATCTGTATTCACCAGGGAATTGGTGAAAGGTTTCTCAAGGCTTCCCAAGGAAGGGATTAGCTTTAGGAATGGTGGCAGTGGACCAGATCTAAGCTGGTAGTTAAGCTTAGAAGTCTTCATGCAGGCCCCCACCATTTGTACCCTAAAGTTCAAAGTAGGGGATATAGCCTTGACATGGTAGCATAGCAGTGTGATTCATTTTAAACCCAAAAACCAGTAAGATTTTTTTTTTCCGTCTAGCTGCTTGGAAGGCAGAGCTGAAGGTAGATGCATATCTTATCTCTCCGTGCCTGAAGTCAGAGATGTTAAGTTTTTTTCACAAGATCCTTTGTTAAGAGAAGGGTTCCATTAAGGAGCAAACGGCTGGTAAAAGGAATTTACAAGCGGAATTTTTTTTTTTTCTTTTTACATCCTC